AAATATAGTGCATTTTACCAGGATATAATTAACATCCAGTTATTCAGTCTTAACTTTTTATGTTAAAAAATGGTAAACTTCATTTACTAGTTAGATTAATTATTTCACTAATTATTTGTGGTACATTACTATTTGGATGAAAATCTGAATTCTGTTAAGATTATAACCCCCCTCCCTCAGCACTTTTTAAATTATTCTTAAACTAAATAAAATTACATTAAATATGCTAGGTATAAAAACCCCTAACCTTTATAACAATAAGTTTTTCTCTTTTAAAACCTTCACCTATAAGCAGAAGAATTTAGTGAATTTAACAGATTTGCTTCTGGTCCTTATCCCTCAGGATTTTGGAATTAATGCATGTCAGCCTCTTACAAATACTGTATAGGTTGGAAGACAAACTTTCCTGCTGCTTTAGCTCCCATTGGTTGCTTAACTTTGCATAAATATGCTGAGCTAACCTGAAACAAAGAAAATATTCTCTGCACCTGTAAAAGAGACTGTGGTTCCAAGAACATGTTTAGCATTTCAGCAGACTCTGGTTCCAGTTCCTTAGGGACTTTTAATTAAAAAAAAAAAAAAAAAAAAAACCCCACAAAAAACCCCATCCTATTTCTTTCATCCCAGCTTGGGTGTTCATGATGCCAGTATTTCTTGCAGGGGTGGGGAGCACAATATGCATGAGGATTTACTCAGTCTAGCACCTTCTTAGTTAAACCTTGCTTCATGACCAGAAACAAAGTAACGAAGTAATAGCTGATAATAACAAATTTAGGGGACAAGTCTTGCAGAGACATTTCCCAAGCTCATCTCTCATTCATAATCCATAGAGCCAAACTGCTTTTAAATTAAACAAAAAAAGGGGGGGGAGGGAAGCTTTCTCTGTAGCAGAGAAACATCCCCAGTGAGGTTTCTTCATTGGAGACTCAATAGTGAAAGAATTTCATGATAGGAGATAGAAACAATATATTACATACTAGTGAAGGCAACTGGGCATGTGGTACTAATATAATCAGGAACTGGAAATTGGACTCTTGAGTTGATCCATCTGATTGGATAGTATCAGGATAGGTATAGTGCCTCTAACTGGGAGTGAAAGGAGTGTCTCATTTTACAGGGGTGCCTATGTCTCATTTTAAATATTTTCAGCTGACTTGAAGAACACTAGAAGGAAAACTGTCACTGAAAAATGAGGCATTTAGGAGTGAGAGTTAAAGGGAATGGACCAGGTAATCTTCATCAATGATCTTTGGTTAGGAAGTCCAACATTCAAATAATCCACCCTGACTTTACAACAATTCCAAGTCTTACCTGTGCTACTTCAAGCTGAAAAATACGTGTAAAGTTTCTCCATCATTGTTTACAATGATACCTTGTAATCATGGAAGCTGGTTAAAAACAAAGCACAAATAGAAGAATTTTTTTTCCTTTACAATCAATTGGGAAGTTACTCACTGTTATCACTTGCCTTTTGGAGCAATTTGTTGTTAAGGAATAAAAAGGGAATGCTACAATGCCCTCTACTGGTCTGCTCCCAGAACAGCGTTCTGGGTGGAAGACCAGAAAGACTGACAATGAGAGGAGCAAGTACTGAGCAGTGAGCTTCATTCTGACTATTTTTGATATACTTGTAGTCATAAGACTCTTTTTCTTACCTGTATCCTCTGTCTCTGGATTCAGTGGTGTGAATACTTAAGTTACCCCTTTTTGATAATGCTACCTATATAAAAAAGCATTTAAAATGTACGATGACTTCATAGCCTTAGGGCCAGTAGTTCTACAGGTGCAAAGTTAAAAATAGCTATGCATTATCAGAGTTTCTGTTGCCTAGTAACAAGAGCTAAGCATGTAAATCTAACTGGATAAATTTGATTAATTTAAGTTTTTTTTCTTTCTTGCAGTTTATACAGAACGTATTGACATTTTCACACATTTTGTTTTCTATTTAGCTGAAATGCTTTAGAATCTTTTATTCTGGACATCCATTGATATCTCTTTGGTCACCTCGCTCCTAGCATTTGTTTTCTGCTTGGGTGAACAGGCATGCATTCTGGTATGAATATTTGTGCAAGCGAGTTTTAAATTTGTTCTGACATTGAAATCTATAATTCTCTAAATTTTTTGGTATGGCGATTTTCCCTTTGTTATGAAAACTCATTTAAAAATATCAAGTTTTCAGGGAATGACTTGCTCGTCTCTACTTGTAACATGAATAAAACTGCAGACTAAACCCTGATCCTGCAAGTATTTTAGACGTGTGCGTAGCTCAGGGAAACTTCTCTTATTCAAAAAAAAAAATTAAAAAGCATATACATAAATGCTTGCAAGGTCTAAGTTCCAAATATCACAGAATCTTCACACTTGTATATATTGTGTCAATTAAGATAAAAGTGGCTCATTGCAGTCTTTTAATCTAGTGATTAGTGAACCTTCCTAAGGAAGCTAGGGTATGCAATTTTAAATGGTGATTAATGTGAAGATCTTTTTCCTTATTTACTATTTGAATTAGATTCAGTAGTTTATTTTTTGCATGAATATCATTTAAAGAGCTGATGATCTCTTTGTTATTTTTGAAAGACTGTGCTTAGCACCTGTGTATATGTGGGTTTATAACACTTTTTTTTTCTCCTTCCTTTTTAACTGTTGATAGTTTCATACATGTTAGGGTTGGAAGGGACCTATTAGATCATCGAGTCTGACCCCCTGCCCTGGGCAGGAAAGAGTTGGGCAGGAATGAGTGCTGGGGTCACATGACCCCAGCCAGGTGTCTGTCCAATCTCCTTTTAAATGCCTCCAAGGAAGGGGACAGCACCACCTCCCTTGGAAGCATATCCCATGTTTTGGCAACCCTCACTGTAAATAATTTTTTCCTGACGTCCAGTCTGAATTTGCTCTCTTCCAGTTTGTGGCCATTATTTCTAGTTATCCCGATGGTAAACATCATATCCCCTATTTCTTGCTGACCCCCGCTCATGAGTTTGTAGGTGGCCACAAGATCACCTCTCAGTCTCCTCTTGCGGAGGCTGAAGAGGTTCAGGTCTCCCAGTCAGTCCACATAGGGTTTTTTCTGTAGGTCTTTAACCAGATGAGTGGCCCTCCTCTGAACCCTCTCCAAGCCATCCACATCCCTCCTGAAGTGCGGTGCCCAAAACTGGACTCAGTACTCCAGCTGCGGCCTGACCAACGCCGCATAGAGGGGAAGTATCACCTCCCTGGACCTGCTTGTGATGCACCTACTTGCGCAAGAAAGGGTGCAATTAGCTTTACTTATTACCCCATCACACTGGTGACTCATGTTCATTTTGGAGTTGACTATGACTCTGAGATCCCTTTCCACAGTTGTGCTACTTAGAGTGGTGCCTCCCAGGCTATAGGAGTGTTGATGATTCTTCCTCCCCAGGTGCAACACATGACACTTAATCCTTGTTAAACTGCATCCTATTCTGTTCCACCCACTTCCCCAGCCTGTCCAAATCATCCCGGATTCGCTCCCTGCCCTCTAGTTTGTTTACCTGCCTCCATAATTTGGTGTCGTCAGCAAACTTGGACAGGGTGCTTTCTACTCCCTTGTCCAAGTCACTAATGAAGATATTGAATAGTACCGGTCCCAGGACAGAGCTTGGGGGACACTGCTGCCTACATTTCTCCAGGTAGAAATGGACCCATCCTCCACCACTCTCTGGGTGCGTCCCGTAAGCCAATGTTCTACCGACCAGACTGTGTAATAGTCTACATTGCAACTGTTTAATTTATTTATAAGAATTGGGTGTGACACTGTCAAAGGCCTTTTTAAAATCTAAGTAAATAACATTTTCCTCTCTTTCTTCATCCAAGCATTTTGTAACCCGGTCATAAAATGAAACCAGGCTAGTCAGGCAGGATCTGCCTGCTATGAACCCATGCTGATTGCCCCTTAGCATTATTTTACCCGCTGGTCCTCCACAAATGTGATTCTTAACAATTTTCTCAAAGGTCTTGCAAAGGATAGAGGTGAGGATAACCCGTCCTATAGTTACCTGGTTCCTCCTTCCTCCCCTTCTTGAAAATAGAGGCCACATTGGCCCTTTTCCAATCCTTTGGGACCTGTCCTGAGCCCCACGAGTGCTCAAACAGTTGTGCCAGCGGATCTGCTATGACTCCAGCTAATTCTCTAAGTACCCTAAGATGAGGATCTTTAATAATCTTTAAGAGCTGATAATCTTTAAATTGGGCTATACTGCAGTCCTACTGTTTATTTCCCACCTGAAGTGGTAGCCTTAGGATTTCAAATGTGATAGCTGAAGCAATTGCATTGATGCATAGTTCTTAGGGTTATTACTGATGGTGAAGAAATTAATAAATTTCTGGTAAAATGAGGTTTAGACAATGGACACGTGTTCAGTTGCAGCTCTGCAAATTTCTGGGAAACTTGCAGCTCTAGGAAAATGTGGCAAGGGGTGGGAGGCTATAGGCACTCTAGCTCCCTGGCTGATAAGCTACAAAATCACCTGGGGAAGAGGAGCTGGCTGTCAATGATTAGTTGGCAGTGGCTGAAAAGCAGCAGCTGCCAAAGGGAGACCTCCATCTTCTCACTTCTGCCAGCCCTGGAAGTGCTGCTGTTAGAGCCCCAGCTCTTGCCAGGGCTTTGCAGTGTTGGTGAGAATTTCCTCATCCTAAACCTTCACCCTTTCCCCCTGTCTTCTTGCCTGCCAACTCCACCTGTTGTGATCAGTAGAGAGAGAAGATGGGGGTGGAGGCATTAGGGTTAAGATGAGGGAATTCTTGAGACCCTGCCACTTCAGCAGTCCCAGGACTGTTCAGGGGGTAGTATGACTACAAGGTCATTGTGGATGAAAATGAATTAATACTTTTTTTTTTTTTTTTGCCCCTAGCCCCAACTCCTATAGTTGTGATACTTTTCCAGTCTCTTACTTTGTGTTAAATTTATTAGGATATTTTGGACTGATCTAAATTCAAGTACAAATTCAGATAGAGTATTAACCAGTTTTTGTTTCTCATAGGTTCTTCTCCCAGCAGCTGGTCTGTTACAGTTGCAGGATGTGAAGAGGACTTGCTGTGAATTTTTGGAATCCCAGCTTCATCCGATCAACTGCTTGGGGATTCGTGCATTCGCAGACATGCACGCATGCACAGATCTGTTGAACAAGGCCAACTTGTATGCAGGCAAGTAATGCATCTTCTCAGGTATATGTTTGTACCAAGATACTTTCTCTTCTTGCTACTGAAGGCTAATTTTAGCCATGATAAAATGTAATGGAATTTAATATCAGAGAGTCTTCTGGTCAAAATGTTCATTATCTGTTCAAAATGTTCGTTTCCATTTTGGCCCTTAACTGCTCAATGGGGAAGTGCATCTTCATGTTCTGTAATCTTGATAGCTAGGAGCCAAGAAACTAATAACTAGCTGTTGTTCATAGTTATAATGAGTAATGGATAGGAATCTGTTTTGGGGTGGCGTAGCATGAAAATATAGTGCCAACAGAAATGTTTTAAATCTTCAATCATCTTTGAAACAATTAGTGAGTACATGGCTATGTTGTAGGTGTGCTTGTTATGGCTCTTTTTGAACTTGCTGCCACAAGTGAAACTCTTAAATGTATTGCGGAAGAACATGCGGGATGTTCCACATAGTCCGTGTCCTGCTGGTAACTCTCAAGTGACATAAAAGTAACAAGAGGAAGTGAGGCATAGAATGCACTGAATGGATGTTGTGCTGTGCTTCTTTTTCCAAAACCCTGTCTGGCCTGCTTAAAGTTTGAACTTCTGCTGTAGAGTACCTGGAGAGTCCATTTTTTAGCTGATTATAATATTCACTACTGCAAGAGACATGCTGTCTACCCATTCCCCTCTATCTGTGAAGAACGTTGGCCTGATCATGGTGTTTCTCTGAGCTGTTTAGAAGTTATTCTAAACGCTTTCTGCGTTTTACTGATTCTAATTTTATCATGAGTTAATTGAAGATGGACTTTTTTAAACTGTGGAAAGTTGTCAAAGTTTGATAGAACTTTCGTTCTAAAATGAGGATCTCATGCCGTTTCACTAAACGCAAATCCCATTTTGGATTACAGTATAGATAACAGGAATGGTTGTATGCAAGATATATAAAGTAACTATTCTGTTCTAATTGCCTCTGGTGAAGACATCAGCCGGAGTACTATATCTTGTTTAGGGCACTACATTTTAAGGAAGATGTAAACAAAATGGAAGGAATCTAACAGGTTTAGAAAACAGCCAGTGAGAGAAGGTTGAAGGAATGAGTTTGCTTAGGGAAGAGAAGACCGAGGAGATATATTGGGAGACTTAACGTGTAGAAGTTTCTTGAATGAAGCAGTAGCTAGGGATGTTGTGGGATCCCCTTCATGAATGTTTTAAGAACAGCTTAGAAACATTTCTATTAGGGAAAGTCTAAGTTTACTTGATTCTGTTTCAGTACTGGGAGTTGGACTAGATCAGTGGCCAGAACCCTTTTCAGGTTGAGGGTAAGAATGACCCCGCTTGGGGCAGAGATGGGTGGGGGCTAGGACTCACCCATTGTCACTGTTTCTCCCTACCACAGGGCGTTGTTCTGAGAGGGGCACTTCTTTACCTGGCATGTTTTCCTGATGCTGTGGAATATAGTAATTGTCAGAATTGCATTATAGAACATGTAAAAAGATGTCCTAAAGATATAATTTAACCTTGCAGTAAATTTTATAGAACCAAATAATTCTAGTAAAACAAACACTTATCTAGTTGGGGTAAGGCATCTCCCCTTACTTACTACTTCAACGTAATGAGGCCTTGATACCAGATTTGGGCCTGAAGACAGAAATAACCAATAGCTAAATAAAAGAAGTGTTGATATGTCCTTGTCTGGATTCCAGCTTATTAGTCAGAATGGTAATGTGATTTGAATATAGTGCTATCTATGCTTTAATTGTATCCAAATACTAGTGAATACTAAAATAGATTTGAAATGTTTCCAAAACTATATGGTGCAGTTGTCATGTGTTGCAAGTGACTTGCTAGTGTACCTCTTTATCCGGAATTTTAGCTGGCTGGCAGTCATGCATTGCTTACTGTCTTTTCAGGATCTCTTTGCACATTGGATCAACGTATCGGAGTTAGTTTCCACCTAAATACTGTATCTTTCATCTTCTTCACTACTTTCCTCTATATCTGACAATTTCTGTGTTCCCCTTGTCATTCAGGTTTCAGTGTTCTCCTTGTCAAAAAACTTAACATCTTTTAACTCCTCTTGGATACAAGGTCCTACAACGTTTTGTTTGTTTTTCTGTGTGTTATCACCTTTTTCTCCCTGTAATGACCATCTCCACACCTTTTATGTCACCTACCCCACCTCTTTTGCAGCACTAAACTTGCTACTTATAATGTTACCTTCCTCCTTCTGCTCAGATGCAAGTACTATTTCATTGTTCCTTCTTGTACTTCAGGCTCCTTGTCCTCACCTTTTAAAGTTCAGCATAGTTCTGCCCCCATTTATATTTTTCCCTTCATATTTTCTGACTCCCATTTTCTTTTCATCTTGGCTTTATTTTTAAACCGTCTTCCTTCTCTCCATATCCTGACCATCCCTCAGCCCTGGGACCACATCAGAGTATTGATGGTGCCCAGGCAACCCAGGCAGGTGTTCCCGGGGCTTCAGAGTCCTGATACCGGAGTACTTGCCCGGGGTAGCCGGAGGCAGCCCCAGGCTGACCATGCTCTCCTGTCATAAACCTAATAGACATCTGCCACAATGGAGCGACACAAATTGATACCACCTGTGTTGCGGCCACAAATTTTGGGCCTTCGTGGTGCATTGAGGAGTATGGATGTCTGCTTGTTTGTCTGTTTGCTTGGCCTTTGTCTCTCCATAAACATTTTTATGGTGAGACAGGGCAAATATCTGTTTCAACCCTCAGCTATTCAGAATCAAATGGCAAAATCTAATTGCTTGGAGACAAAGTACTCACTTCTGCCATAAGACTTCCTCAAGGGAGAATGTTAATAGGTATTGCTTCATTTTGATTCATTGTTAGGTTGGAGTGTAGGCACTTTTACAGTGTATCTCTGTTAAATCAGCAGAAGTCAGGGTAGATTTGCATCAGGGTAGACTAAATCAGAGATGCAAAAGCTTTAGTGAACCAAAGCTAACTTCATTAGATGCTGGGAAAGGGTATGGACAGAGCAGTATATCAAATAGAGTGGTTTGAACACACAAGACAAGGAAGGCAGAGGAGGGACGGGGAGCACTGCAAGGAAAGGCAAACAAGTATCAAACCCAAAGGGACAAAGGGCTCCAAAAAGCTAATCCAGGTAATGGAATATGAGTCTGTAGTCGCTTTTTAGACCATATTTAACACACTTCAGTCTGGATGATTTCTTCTTCTGCAATTTTGCATTCAAGTTTGTTTTTACTGAGAACAGGAACTCTGAGGTCAGCAAGGCATGACCAGGGAGGTTACAGTGTTCTTCCACAGGCTTGCGGGTCTTTCTGGAACTGACATCTGATTACCAGTCATTCATTCTTACATGTACGGGCTGCCCTGTCTCAGTTAAATAGGTCTTATTTTTCCTTCTTGCCAGAAAAGTTCATCCTTATTAACCTTTTCTACCTAGATGTCCTAGTTATCATCTTAAGTATGAATTTAGATATTAAAAAAAATACTTAAAGGTGTGGCTAGACCCTGACTCCATGTGGTGCCCAACAACTAGGAAGATGACGATCCAATTGCTCATGAATCCTGTTACTTGTTAGCCAGAGCAAGCAGGGAGCAAATGCTGCTTGCACCCATTGCTTGCAAAAGCTTTATTTAGAATGGAGACAGCTTCGGGCAAAGGTCCCCAAAAAACTAACAAACTGGGGACCTGCCTTGAACATTAGTTCTTTTTACATTTTACACACCTTGGTTCATACATATTAATATTTGTTCTACTTCTGTTCCACCCATTTCTCCTCCCATCTCAAGCTCCACCTCTGTTTACTGTTTACTTCATTAGCATGGAATTGCCTATGTATTTCCTTCATTTACGTGCCTCTGCTAAGAGCGCACATGTAAGACTTTGGCATCCGCTTCTCTCAGTCACTTGCTGGTTTTTTCTGGTTTCTTGCTGACTCCTTCATCTGCAAGGTCTTGCTTCTACTTTATCTAATTTTGAAATTATGCAGTGTTAGTTGTAACGTTGTTTGGCTACCCCCGGCTAGTAGGTAACTACTGTGACGTAATTGGATTTGCTCAACATCGTTTCACTTAAAGTTGCATTTTTCAAGAACGTAACTAGGATGTTAAGCAAGGAGTAGCTGTACTTTGACAGAGCATAAGAGTTTGGTCCTTTTGATCAAGGGTGCTTACTGCTTAATCACTATATTGTGGAGGCCTTCCACATAGCTTTTGACAAACACAATTTTAGCAATTTAAAGACTAATGTACTCTTCATCTGCTTTGACTAAGAATAGAAAATTTAAATCTGTGGCTTTCAAAAGAACCGGTTTCCAAAATGAAGAAAAAATTGAAAGTGAAATTGTGGTGGGATGGGTTTCTATCTGGGTTCTTACCAGTCTGTCCAGGACTTATTCAGGGAAGATTTCACAGTGGTATGTTGGCAGAATGATCCGTTTCTTTCCAGGAGACTTGGGAAGTTAAACAAAGAGTTACCTTTGTGCTAATGTATGTTCAGGCTCACTTTTTCATTCAGCTGAGGCAGCCTGGGCACAGCTTTCACCAAAGCTCAACACCAGTGATTTTGATCTGACTCCCTATGTGGTAAATGTGATCTAGGTCAGTGGTTCTCAAGCTTTTTTGTACCAGGACCCATCTGTAAACAGCAATGGCCAGTGACGACCCAGTGCGCCTCATTTCCGACCCACTGCCCAGGCCTCCAGTGTGTGGGGTGGAGGGCTAAGGGTGGTGTGGGGCACGGGAGCTCCAACCAGCCCCTTTCAGGCTGGAACTCTGCCAGCCTGCAAGGGAAAAGCTACGGTTTCCCACGTTTTTCTCCTTTAAAGGAGAATCCATTTTTAAAGTTTGTTGATCCGTTTTTAAGTGTGTTTGTGACCTTTGCGTATATTCTTGCAACCCATGGGTTGAGAAATGCTGATCTAGGTCATGCCCTTTGCAAGGGCTAGTTTTGTCCTGGAGCAATTGCATGGTTTCTGCCTCCCATTATCACCTTGTTTGTGG